CAAAGCATTTTGTAAAGTTTGCACTGTCCTTAATATTGCCCACTCCAGACATTAAAGTCCACTCACAGTCACCGCTTTCTATGGTGGGCTCCTAGAAGAGAATTTGTTTGCTGGGTGGAGGCTAACCTAAAGTTTTATGTATTTATTTGAATTTAACCCTATGCATACAGATTTCCATAATGGTGGCTAGGGTAATGTGCTAAGAACGATAAATAGGACAATGCAGCTGGCATACCTACCAAATTTAAAGTGGTTTGAAGGGACCCAGCACTAAGAAAGGTCATGAAAGCAGGTCATTTCAGCCATACTAGACTGTTATTGCATCTTTAGAGTTTTACACATTTTTACAGCATTTTACAAGCATGTATGTAAAAAAAAAAAAAAAAACTGTGGTATAAACCAACCCCCAATAAAACCACTAACAGTAGCACTTACATTTCACAAGGGAGTCTGTATTTTTCTGGCACAAATGGCCCATCACATTATAGTAACTACAAGGAAGACATTCTTGACAGCGCATTTTTTGTTTAGCATCAAGATGCAAACAGACAAATGAGTCCTGCAAAAGAAACATATAAAATCAAATGATGCAAAAACAAATTTGTCTTAAAAGGTATGTAAACCCTAACAGTAAAATTATCATATTTGGTCTAATTTGGCCTGTTTAATATACCATTGAAAGTGTTTTGTTCTATCGGATTGTTAATTGTAAAAATACCCATTGATTTTGTCAGAAATCTGGCAGCTGATAACTTTCTGTGCTTTATCAGTTGCATTGTTCTCAGGTATCTCTAAGAACTACAGAACTTTTCCCATATAGGAGAGGAAGAGACTTCCATTCCCATTCTGATAATGCTTCTTCTCCATAGATACAGTATGGTGAGTGACCCTTGTCGCCCTAGGATAGAAGGATGCTACTGGCAGAATCACTCAGGGAAAACAGAGGACAAAAAAAACCTTTAACCACTTCATGACTGAGGCCTTTTTTTCATTTTTTTGCACCCATGTTATATTCCACATTTTAGGCCTGAAAATGACTTAAAACCCCCAAACATTATATATTTTCTGAATGCCAAGACCCTATAGAATAAAATGGTGGTAGTTGCAAATTTTTAGGTTGCGCAATATTAGCGCAACTCCTTATTAAACCCCAACATTTAGTGAAAAATGTAATTACATGGCCCAAAACACAACAAAATACCAATTTTTTAATGAAATATAAACGATGAGGTTACAACGAGTAAAACGATGCCCAACATGCCCAGGTTAGAAATTGCGTGCGTCCGTGAAACGGCGAAAAACTGCAGTACCCAAAAAAATCCATAGAAAACGCTTTAAAAGCCCCCACAGGTCATCAAGTTAGAGATACCCCAAAATACTGGCCCTAGAATTATTGCTCTCACTCCGGTGTGTGCGGCGATACCCAACATGTGTAGCGCGTTCGTCGTTTTCATACGTAGGCGCACCCGACGCGTGTTTACGTGGCAACGCGCGTGCTCCTGGGGGCGGGGGACTTTAAGAAAATTTTTACACCAAGGAAGCCGGTCCAGGGCCCATAGGAGGGGCAACGGAGCCCGATCTGGTGACAGGTAAGTCGCCAGAATCGCTTCTGTTGTAAAGCCGACAGTCGTCAGTCACGAAGGGGTTAAAAAGGAAAACTAATGCAGACACCACATCTTAGGACTAGCAAGTTGCAATATCTAACATTTTTGTTATTGGCTTTGGATACACTTTAATAATCACCTTTCCTAAATATAATGAAAATTAAACCTGCCTTATATAGTAGCACGCCTGCTAGATGTTAGTGATTAAGAATGTAATGTTCAGGAAGTGTTGAAGATGGTAAGTGTTACTGCTGCTCTACATTTGTCAGAGGTCAGTTCATTAAATGCAGACAGCTTCTAATTGATTGACCTGTATTTCTGAATGTCTTGTATTCCAGGCTTGGATTGAGAACCAAGCAATGCTCTGTTAAAGATAAATGTAAAGTGATACTAAGAAGTCTGTCAGTGACACGGATTGCTTTATTAATGGAGAAGAGAACACCTTAATTGTTTCTGTACAGTAATAGTAGGAGGCCGGTAGACCTCCTAACTAGAATTAGTCTGTTAAAGAGTTATATGAGAGGAAAGGAATATCTGCTTGATACCTGGCCACTAATATGGACCGTGATGATATGTGCTAATAAATGTGAACTCATTCACAACAGTCTCATGTATGTAAGAAGTCTAATCATGTCAGCAATCCCTAATGGCACTGCAGTGTGCATGTAGATGCTATCAATTTATAAAAATTAACCATTATTTACCTGTAGACTATTCCTGTCCGGTGCTTTTAGCTTATTCTTTAGGGAATCAATCATTTCATACAAACAGAGCTCTACTTGCTTGCTTTGCCTATAAGGTATCATTGCAGAAAGAATGCAGAAAGTTAAAGAGAAGATCAACTTTTTAATTTATACATGTAAAGAGAAAAACTTTGGTGCCACAGGTTTTCAAATACAACGGCTTTCTTGTGTGGATTTTGTATGCTGTAGTCTTCACAAAAATACTTATATTACCAAGCCCCCTAGCTCAAGAAATTGGAAGCACGTTTCCAGAAGTGCTTCAAAGCTCAATATTTAGATTTTCATGTTATTCTATTGTGCCGGACCAAAGACGCCAACGCTCAAGTGTGAATGTAGCCCCCATACAGATGGATTGTTATTGTGTATTATTATTTTGTTTAGTGAATGGCACAGACAGTTACTGGCTCATATTTTATCTATACAGCTTCTGTTTACCATTAAGGACAAACTGCTGGGACAAGGTCCTTTAGCTCCCAAGTCAAAAAGACCAAAATGGGCCCCCAGCATAGGCTGTGAACTATCTCAGCAAGGTCCTGCCATTTGTGCACCCCCTTTTGCTGAAACTCGAGGCCACCCCTTTTCTACCTACCCCTTGTCCTTGTCCTGATGGCAAAGCAGAAGGCTCACTTTAATGCAGACCCCACCAGTTGCATATCCTACATTTCCCTTTGCTTTCCTGTCACTTTGTTTGGCCAAGAAGATAAGAAGTCCTATGTAAGCTCCATCTCAAAAGTTGGAGCTTCACAGGGCTGAGGACTGTCTTCCCTGCATTATGTGACAGCACTGAGTGCCTGAATAGCCAAGCACCAGCACTGTTATGTATAAGGAAGAGTAGTGAATCACTTTTTCCCCCATACCTAGAAGTACCCTGAACATTTGTATTCCCTTTTGGTAGACAAAGAGTACCATGGGGAGTGAAGGAATGAGAGTATATGCACCCAGTGGGGCCCCCAATAAACAACAACTGTACCTTTGGTACAAATATCCTTTAAACACTTGTTACCTACCCCCCAAAGTGCTGCTGACCCAGTTCAACACTTACTGTGGCCCCCATTCCAGTAATCCTCACTGCACTGCTCTGCCTGGAAATACTGCTTAACACAACCCAATAAATTACCCCATAATTCTTAAGCAAACCTAAGCCTTAATGTAACTCTTCAAATTAACTCTTAACACTTAAAAAAGAAGTCTTGCTTTGTATTATTTTTCACAGCTCAGTTACTTAACTACCACATTACATTTTGCTTTTTATTCCATGCTACTGTGTACAGTAGAAACTGAGTTACAGAATTTGACAGCTCACTCCTCTTCATTCCTGACCACACTCTGATGGCTCTTATCTCACTGTCTCTGTACCTTCTCAACACAAAATAAGTCTCCCCTTCCAGTTCTAAAGCCTGTGCCGATTCCTGTGGAATTGTGCTCGCTCCTTCTGTATTCTTGTGATCTCACTTGTGTCTGGAAAGTGGAGAAACAGTTAGATAAGAGTTGTTAATGAAGAGGCCGTCTCCTTTGCAGATCGTGGTGGGGGAATGAGAAGGAGTGAGCTGTCAAAGCCTGTATTTCAGTTTCCCCTGCATACAGAAGCATGGGCTAAAAAAAAAGCAACATATATTGTATGAGTTCGGTCACTGAGCTGTGAAAAATAATACAAGGCAAACCTTCTTCTTTAGGCTAACCTTTAAAATGGACTCTTAACCTGAACCCCAACAGTCAGCCAGCTCCCATTAATAATGAATGCTGGGATTGAAATCTCATTATTTCTTTTCTCAGGTTGACCATTTCACTTACTGTACATATCCCTATGTAAACAAAATGAAACCACTGCAGTTCTCTTTAAGTAAGATGTCATATTACATTTGTAGGACTATACTAAATTGCTGCTAAGTGGAATTTTAACTGTCTACTATAGGTTAGTGCACACTCTTGCCCTTTGCTTCACATAAAAAAATAGGCGTTTTTGTGTTTGTATATGCAACTTGTAGTACAGGAGCAGAATTGTGTGTTTTTGGCCACATAGACTTTTAAAACGGAGCTACCATTAAGGTCTATGGGGCCAAAAACAGACTTTCCTCCAAAAGAAGATCATGTATGTTCTCTAGCTTCATGCAACAGGTGACAAGTGATACATTGCTCGGGTTTGAACGGCCTATTGAGAATAAACAAAACACTCAAGTGTGAATAAGACCAGCTTTAGCTTCTAAATTGGTTTTAATGATTGGGACTAAAGCTCAACACACAATTTACAATAAGATAGTACAATCTCTGTTAGATCTACCAACAAGCATGTAGTGCAAGAGCCTGCTTGATTGTATACAGATTAGTTGAATACTTAAATTAGGTCCCTATATTACAGTTTTGGTCAATCTAAATTTGAGTGTACAGTGGTTGTACGGTCAGACTGTAATGTGTAAGTTGTGAGCCTAAAGGTTTTGGCATGGGGATTTGCAGAGACTCCAGGGACACTTACCTACTAGATAGATACTAGATAGATAGATAGATAGATAGATAGATAGATAGATAGATAGATAGATAGATAGATAGAACAAACCCTAGCAAATACTTCTAAGCATTTATCTTGTTATGTTTATAACATAAAGTATATGCTTGCGAGTACTTTAATGAAGATACTGCTGAATAAAATTTACATTTTAAGATAGCTTAGGAGGAGATATTTGTGAACGCTTTGTTTTTGAGTCTAATTTTATCAGACAATCAAAGAAGTCATGAAAGGGCACTTACAAAGAAGAAAAGTATTGAATCAAATGTACAATTTAAACACAGTGGTTCCAAGACGTTATAGAACTGTTTATCTTTGCATGTCAATACATGTACCAATTAATCTATTTGTGATTTAGCCTGCTAGGGAGAAGTGCACATTCTGGAAAAAAGTGATAAAATAACATATTCTTGTCTAGTTTCTTATCAAATCTACCTCAAAGTTTTACTGTTTGTTTCTAATGTATCCCAAACTACTGCAGTCTTAAAAAATGGCAAAGAGGAGAGATTTCAGTGAGACTAGTTTTAAAGGAGAACTATGGGGTTAAGGCTTTTCCCCATAGTTCTCCTTAGGGTAACGGGAGGACACAAACTAGCGTCCTCCCGTCACCCTAGGCTCAGTATACCGCGAGCTGCTGCTCACGGTATACTGAGACGCTGCAGCTGAAGCGGTCCTGCGTGACTGACAGCTGGCTCTACCTATCTAGAGGCAGAGACAGCTGTACCCGCCCCGTCAGTTCCGCCAGTCAGCGCTGGCGGATCGGAGCGGGGAATCCAGGATCGAGAGGTGACCGAACGCCGGTATGTGTTCGCTCACCTCCCGATCTACTAAGCCGACCTGTGACAGTCTCATTGTCACAGGTCGGCTAGAACTATGAGGTGAGTGAAAAGCACTCACCTCATAGTTCTCCTTTAAGGTTTGAGTTTCTAACTTTGATTCTCTTAGGTCCCAATTCGTGCCCTGCGGAGCTAAACAGAATACTGTGGCATAGTCATACGATGTTCCAATTCTTCATATGATGGTATGAGGTCTTCCCAACTAGTTATACATGGTAGCAGTAAAATATTGCCTACTGCAGATCTGCAATCACCCCAATACACCTCGTTCTGTGTAGATCGCCTTGCCTCTAGAGGGACTGCATATCTACAAAGTGATCTAGGCAACTACAGACAGCCAGACTGCATATTTAAGCATGACCACGGAAACATTTATCTATTCTATATTCATAGCAGGGGGGGGGGTGGAGGTACCAGGAACAAGGAGCTAGGCTATACTTTTTAATTCCAACTAGGCCCATTTAACGTAGGGATAAGTATATTTTAACGTGTGTCGGTTTAGTTGCGCCAAACTTTATTTTAACTTATGGACTTATGTACATTCTTTGATTTGGTGATGATGTCTACTATATTTTTAAATACTGGACACATTAATGCTATAAAAACCATCAAATTCTAGATAAACCCCATATACACTTTGTTTAAACATGTTGAATAAGCACATATTTTTTAAACATAGTAAACTTTTATTTACCCAAATATATTACACCTTTCTTAGAGCTGGAGCTATTCAAGTGTTAAATCACTGCATTCTTTTGAGTTAAAAACCTAAACATCAGAATACCTACATAGCCAATGTCTCTGCTGCTGCAGCAATTACTTTTTCTGTCCTCTCTAGAAAAGTTGGGACTGTAATTGCATCATCTTCAGGCAAATCCACCAGCGCTGTTTCTGATATGTCTAACAGTAATTTTTCAATTCGGCACTCCAGTATGTCAGAAGCTTCCTTACATATCTGTTCTATATCTCTCAGTGAACTGTAAACATTTGCAATGTCTAAAATAAAAAAGGCACATTATAATAAAATTGTAAAATCAATTAATCACCATGTTAAGAAGACACTGTCACCTGATAGCCCACTCCTCCCAGCAAGATATACCTCCCAAACCACATTGCCTGAAGGCTCCTTTCTGCAGCAGCCCACACTGAGTAAGCTCTGGTGTTGGAGCTTGCCTAGTTGGATGACAACACTGCCACCCCATGTGACAGTGTTCAGTCTTAGCAATTTGCAGCTTAGGCTCAAGCACAAGTCACATGGTGTAGGTTACATGCTCCACCATGCCTGGAAGTCCCACTCCATTACAAAAATGGAGCAAGGTTTCTGCCGGAGTGATGAGATGGTGAGGGAATATCAGGAGGCACTTAACTCTGTCCTTAATGGGCATAGCGACAGTGTCTAACAGTTTAGATCTTAGTCAAATTAACTAAGGCAAGAAAATATATGGCAACATTTTTGAAGTTGAAGCAGTGAAGAAGATTATAATACTTGTATATGTTATAGGACAGGCTTTCTCAACAATGGTTCCATTGGGGCCCTAAGCTTCCTCCAGAGGTTTCTAGGGGTTCCTTGAGCAGTGAACAATGACTGATCTCCCACCTACAATGACCACAAATGTAAAGGGGCATTTCTCCGCTGACCACTAATGTAGGGGGACACTACAGTTTTCACAGTCTGTGTGTCTTTTCTGGCCATTATTATTTGTGTGTTTTCATTAATATTATTTTACACCTATTTGCTCATTAATATTAATTAATATTTTTGTCTTATAGAGCAAGTAGGTGTAAAATAGTCAGAAACTGTAGGCATATTCTTTTATTTAAAATTTTCAACAGCTTACTGATCATGTTATGTTACTATAAAATGTTAATAAATGGAGGTTTCTGAACAAAAAACACATTCACTGTTACAATTTTGTTCATTTGAGAAAAATATTCCATCCCGCTCTTTCGGTTCTTTTTCTCACTATGGTCAAAACCAATCAATCATCGATTTGACCCCATTAACTATTAGAAAATTAAACGAAAGCTCCAAAAATGATTTGTTTTCTAACTGTGTATACCCAGCTTAATGCTTTCCATTAGGCCAAGGAGATATTTGATATTAGCTTTAGAAGAATATAAAGCTCATGTCAATATTAAACATGCATATGTTATACACATATGCATGTTTAATATTGACACCAACACTATCTTTTTCTTTTTAAGCCAGCGTTTATAAGAGTCCTGCCAAGTTATAAAATAGAAGCTGCAAAATGAGACATAACAGCTGGTAGTTTGCAGAAATTCAAAGACGGGATAAAACATAAAATTTCAATTAACTGTGTTTGCGTGCACATTGAATTATTGACTTTTACATGGCTTCTGATTAATCAGATAGTTTATACTTGCAAAACTTGCTTCATATAGTTAAAGGTTAAGTGTTGTCTCCAAACAGTGAGATCTGTATACTTACATTTATCAATGTTAAGGGAGGTCCAGGAAAGCTGTGTGAGGCCCGGTGACAACATCTCCTCAATTTGGGTGATAAAAGGTGACATGAGTGGCTTCAGCAGAACAGGGATTTTATTAACAAATGTCTGGTAGTCCATCAGCATATCTTGTAGCCTGAAAAAAATGTTTTTTAAACAAAGGTGGAAACAATTATCAAAGGTGAACAACCTCTTACCTATGTACTGTAAGTTTTACCCAATGTGTGTTTTCATAATAGCCAATATGTGATGGTCAAATTCTGGTATGTGTCAGAATAGGGCTGGATCTTGGAATAGACAGAAATCAGGTCAGCTCTCTGTCAACTGGGGGATCCCAGTAGAAATCTGTATAGCATTAGAAGGATGAGAGCACCACAAAACTTAATTTCGTCCAGTAAGATTTGTTTATTCTTTACAATACGTTATCAAAATTTCAACACATTTCATGAACTTAGAACCATTCCTTCATCAGGGCTTTGTGTACAGTAAATCCAAACTTGAACTGGGCAACCATTGTAAATATGGATGATATCTGGGTCATCAACTGACAGACTGTCAGCACACAAGATCTGATAATAAAGGAAGTTCTGAGCACCCAAAATGCATTGGCTTTTTGATTACATATTGTGAAAATAAAAATTCTTCCTGGACTGAATCACGTATTGTGCTGCTCTTATCCTTCTAATGCGCTATAGCAAAATCCTGAGGTAAGCTTGGCCACATCCAAACCACTATATCAATATCTAATAACTTTACCTAATGCAGGCTTCAGACTTACAAGCAAGTGAAATGCAGAAATATAGCATGCATTTCAGATCAGTCTCAGATAAATATGAGATAAGTTCAAGAAATGTATGAGGTTACTTTTAAATGCATTCACATTGGCTTGAATGGAGAAATAAATGTAAAGGAACATAATGCATGATAAGAGCAACATTAGTACAGTAGGTTGTTTGTTTTCTGTCGATATGCAGAATTAATGGTTTTAAATAATTAATTAAAGAAATTATTATTTTTTTCGATATTATGTGCATTGTATCATCTGTCTGTTTGACATTAGTAAATATCTAATTTAAAATTCAAACGTTACATTCCACATACAAAATGCAACTGCCATTAGACACTTGCCCTATATCTGCCCACATTTTGATTAAGTTCATCCATGCAGCTACCAGTACCAGGGACTGTTTCGGGAATGTTTTGCTAAAAACACACCTTTTTAACACTTAGCCTTTTTAACACTTCGCAAATGCTAAGTAAAAATCTCAGCCACATAGTGGTCTATGTATGTATAGTGAACTAACAAGAGCATTTCCTGCTGTTCATAGCAACCTGCCACAACCCTTGTTTTATTTCCAACTCTGTACTGCAAAATGACAGTAGGGAGAGTAGTGGGCAACAAGAAATGTTTTTTTTAGCACATGTTTAATACATAAGCCCCATAGAGAGTCACTATTAGTCAGTCAGATCTTTTAAGCTTGCACTGAGAGTAAAGCTGGCCATACACTGTGCACATTTTATCTGTTTTTTCACAATAATTTACACAGTAGGTGGCCCTTTCGACAAGAAAATTAAAGGAGGCAGTTGGAAAATATTCGGACAAATAATGACAGGAGCCAATCGGCTGCCATTATTATTATTATTATTATTATACAGGATTTATATAGCGCCAACAGTTTGCGCAGCGCTTTACAATATAAGGAAGACATTAAAATCACAATACAAGATGGTAAGGGGGGGCCTGCCCATGAGGGCTTACAATCTAAAAGGGAGGGGGAAGTGATACATGAGTAGGGAATCACTATTCAGGTATAGCTCAGAGAGAGACTCATCTATCCTTTCTGTTCAGCGTGGATAGAGGAATCTGTTTTTTTATTTATTTAGCCTGCAGGTATATATAACAGTGTATGGCCTGCTTAAGATACAACCACGGTACTGCACTACTAACCAAGAAGCCCACAGACACACTAATATAATAGTTATTACACACAGCACACACTTTGTAACCTGTCTATGCAGCACAGCAGGTATAGCTTTACTTAATTAAAAAAAAAGGACTGAACAGAAAAAAGTAATCAGACTTTTTTGTGTTCAGAAAATGTTTAACTGTGGAATTATATTGATATTTATACAGTTTTTTTTAATTTAATGATATACATATCTATATTGTTTCTAGATCTCATTATCACTTCTAGAGAACAAAGCATACAGAAAATGTGTGCATAACATGTAACCAGGTGCAACACCACAATTATCAAAAATGTTTTCTCTAGCTTTAGCCCTTGTGCTAAAAAAAAAAATCAGATTTTTACATGCAATCAGCATCAACGCGGTCCTGTGCTGACTGTCCTCAGCTCATTTCAGCTCAGCTCGGTTATTGCTTGAAAGGCCAAAGAACACTCTCTTTTCTTCAAGTTTGCTCTCCTAACAAGAGCCTCTAAAGTCACAACTGGATTTGACAGATTCACAGACAGTGCTGTGCTCCTGGCTCCCTGTCAACTGCTAGAACAAGCCGAGTTATCCAGATGAGATGTTACATGTCCTTTTCTCCAGTGGAGGCCAGCAAAGGAAGAGAGAGCGCTGTTAAGCCTAGTGACCTGAAATTAATTGCAACACTTAGGGAGGCCGTTTTTTCTTCAATATTATTTGTAAACCTGGTAAGTACAGGTCAGAGTTTTTACTGAAAGTCTGCAGCCTTCTTCCCCTTGGTTGCTCACGTCAAGTAAAATCAACATCAAGTAGTGTTTGGTACGTCACTGAAATCAGCAGCTCTACTTTGTACCATACCTCTTTGGAAGAAACAGTAATGCTTTTTAATCACAAGTATACTGCATACATGTCAATAAAATAGCAATTCTACACGCAAAAAATTATTCCCAAAAAAGCCAGCATCCAAACTTAAACAGATCTTCAAGTTTTTATTACAGCATGTGAGACAAAAAGGACATCAATGCTAGATGCATTTTGGTCAATCATCATTTACCAATTAGATTGTCCAGGGTATAGCTAAGCGAACAATATTCGCAGCACATTACTGCCGAGCCGAGGAGCATAGGAATTCCTGGATGAACACTTTATAAATCAGCCCCTTACTGTCAAATGTTTAGATGTGAGCAGTAAGAGTAAACTAGACAATATGAGCCACCATAATCTGTAAACATGTGGACTGTATTGTAAAAAAAATAATATTGATTGCTGCAAATGGTGGATTCCAAGTCTCTTGTTTGTTCAGTAAAGTGTCCATGGAGCTATTATCACTTCTGGCACCCATATCCTGGTTCCGTAGCCAACTGCATTTTCAAAGAAACTAAACACTGTCCAAAAAAAGTCACCCCCTGGAATTAGCCAAGCAAATAGGTCAGAGACTTCCATGGGATTATTAGTCTAGGTGCGGCAACACTATGTGCCTAAAAAATGAGGTCAGCTGCCTACCTGAATAACCAGGTTTTTCTATCAATGGATTTTTAATTCCCTAATGGCACAGGCATTTTCCAAGATGACAATTCATTGGGCTCAAATTGTAAAAGAGTGGTTCAGGGAGCATGGGACTTCATTTTCACACATGGATTGGCCAATACAGAGTCCAGACCTTAACTGCATTGAAAATCTTTTGCATGTGTTGGAGAAGACTTTACACAGTAGACATGAGCGATTCGTTTAATTCCCGAAACGAAATTCGGACGAATGCAAATAAGCCCCCTTGGTCGCAGACCCCCACAACCGCCGGGTCAGGGTTGTGGGGAAGAGACCCTTGTCCCCATCGGCATAGGGACACCCTCCCAATCCCGAGGGCACGTCGCCTGGTAAGGCGCAACGAGGGGGGCGCTCGATCGCCCCCCCCTTTTCCTGCCCTGCCAGGCCAGTGCTTGGATCAAGGGTCTGGTAGGACTGTTAGGTCACCTAAAGGGTCTTGTAGGGTTTTTTGGGGGGAACCCCACGCACTTTTTTGTGTTTTAACTTGGGTGGGCTCCCTCCTAACATGAATTGGGGGGGAACCTCACGCTTTTTTTTTCATCTTCTGCAGACTGTAAAAAAAAATTCACATTTTTTTTTCTAATGTCATTTTGCTGCAACGAAAATTCGTCCAAAAAACTAAATTTCGTCCAAAAACGACATTTGAGCGGACTACCGCTAACGAATCCATCCGAATCCGAAACAAATGTAATTTCGGACCCTAATCCGAAAAAATAAATAATGCAAAATCCGATTCAAAACGAAACAAAACTAAACTCATTTTTTGCTGGTGCACATGTCTATTACACAGTGGTCCAACTCTCCCATCATCACTACAAGATCTTGGTGAAAGATTAATGTCACTGGACAGAAATAAATGTTGTGACACTGCATAAGCTTATCAAACTGGTGGCACCTTGAATGTATGCCGTAAACAAATCTAAACACGGTACAATGAAATATTAGAATGTGTGACTTTTTTTTTTTTTGGGGGACAGGCAGTGTAAAAGCTCCAAGTCTAAGATCTCTAAGAAATGCAGCACTACAGCTGGAGCATGAACAGAAGTTCAGCGGGAGCTGGACTTTGACCTGCATGTATACCTGCTAATTTGTGGGGACACGAAGACCATGCTGAATTTGGCAGGTGGGTTTTTAGAAAAGGAACTGTACACCTTGCTGTACTCCATTAAGATTATTGTGTTCGGAGTTGAGCTTTACCAACGTAAGCACTGCTCCTGTCATATTACATGCCATGTTGTTCTATTATGGTGTAAAGAAAATAAATGTATATACAGCATACTCCACACTGCCCTGTTACTTACAAAATAGTATTACCTTCATTATTAGAATATAAAAGTAAAGCTATTCAGTAACACATGAGGAAGGAGTGAGAACAGTTGAGAAAAAGATCTCATGATACATGTGTATTTCAAAAAATATGGCGTAAGACAGCTTAGCGGTACAGTGCACAGTAGCACTTACATAGAGGATTTCCTTTCCTCACTGATAACAAGGTGAACAGAACACAAAGAAGAAGATATATGCCTATCAGCCAGTTTTCTTCTGACATTTCCCCTGCCTCAGCTCAACAGAAGTTTGTATAGAAAATCCATCCTGCCATAGAAACGTAATGCGCTGTGAGCTATCTTTCCTTAGTTTTCTGGTAAAATAATTTGATGTAGGAGAAACTGCTAAAAACCAACTACGGGCCCCTAGCTGAAAGTGCAAATTACATTCTAGAATGTCTTATTAGACAAGATCACTTCTCTGTGAAACATACACAAGATAAAGACAATTTTAGCCATATGTGATTGTCAGATACCAGTCTCAAAGAAAGCATACCTGTACACGTTCAATCAGACATATAGAAATTAGCACAGGATGCCATTGAGTACCATTAGAAAAGATATAAGGACTAGTTGAAAATATGGACATTTAAAACAGCAGGTAACGAGAGTGCTTAATTCCCCTTGATGATTACCTGATAGTAGCCACATGCACATAAACAGTAAAACTGGCTCATATATTCTTTCCATTTGAAGTACAAGACTACAGTATTATCTTGCCTAATATGTGACACATTTATTAACAAATAAGTGGTCAGGTACAACTGGCTATGGCTCCTGTGCTGTATAACACCCTTTTGCTTTGCTCTATTAGGCATTAATGACATTTAAACTTCCCAGGCAGGTTTAAAACCTACTTTTTTTTTATTTATGTGGGAGTTAGCTAGGTGGGTGTTCCAACATTTCCAGCAGATACATTAAAGGATCACCAAATTACAGACAAAACATGAGTGAGTTGAACTTGGGCAGCACATCAATGACTGTAAGTTATGCTCAAGGTTTAATTTATGATTTTGCCTACAATGTACCATTAAGTGTGTTTGGCTGAAATAAAACCGACAGCTATGCATTCCCATTCTTTCACTAGAACCGGTGCCTAGAGCAACAACATATCGGTCTGTGAGGAACATACTCTAAAGCAGAAGCAGGCAACTTTGGCACTCCCGCTGTTGTAGAACTACAAATCCCATGCAATGCGATTGCAAAACATTGTGCATGCACTATTTTTTGCGATGACATCGCACTGGAATGCGGGGCATTGCGGTACCACACGTTGCGGTGCAGGTGATTGTACTGCGGGCAGGAGTCATATCTGCGGTACCATTAAAATGAATGCCACCACCACGCTCCCCCTGAAATGCCAACTGATAAGAGTCAGCAGAGGCAAAGAGCCCAGGAAGTTGTGAGCGGAGATTTCAGGCAGGATCAACAGGTATTTTTTGAACTTATCAAACAGATATAAGAAAATGCTTTCAATGGTGTTTTAACCAAATGGGAGAAAATTAGGTAAGTATATTGTTATTGTTAGGGTTTACATACAGTTGTGTGAAAAAGTGTTGGCCCCCTTCCTGATTTTTCATTGTTTTGCACGTTTGTCACACTTTAATGTTTCAGATCATCAAACAAATTTACATATTAGTCAAAGATAACACAAGTAAACACAACATGCAGTTTTTAAAAGGAAGGTTTTTATTATTGAGGGCCTGTTCACATGATTTTTAGGTCCTGATCAGGTCCGGATCAGATGCGGATCTGGAGCCGCGGTGCTACTCATGCAGTGCGTTCTTGACGCGTTTTCGTTCCGGATGATGACAGTTCATTTTTTTTTCAAGCCGTGGGGCTGTCAGTATGCAGATTCTTCCTCTGAGGTCACTTCCGCCCTCTCGTAACATCTACTTCCCTTTGTGTATGTAAAGCTGGTGATCAGACATGTATCACATGTTTGCAGGCATGTTGATGGTGCTGACTACAGCAATCTGCAGAGAACGAGCTCGCAGGAGACGTCGTTATTGGGTACACCCGATCTTGAGGCTCCGGGACTCCAAGGGTCAGTCCTGGAGTTTATATGAGGATTTGCGAGCTCACCCGGATACATTTTTTTCCTTTACTCGTATGCCCATGGAAAGGTAATGGGCATGTTTAAAATGTTTGCAGTTCATGTCTTTACCTCTACCCCAACCTGTCTGTCTATCTCCCACTCTGACTGCCTCTGACATCATAAAAAGTGGAGCAAGAATACATTTTTTTTTTTGCTTAGCTGCATCGTGTTCCGTTTTCGTTGCGTTTTTGCAGCGTTTCCTGACCGGACTGTGCACGTGAGAAAGTGACATGCAGTATTTTTTCTGTCGTAACCTGAACGGACTGCGCACGTGAGAACTGTAGCCCATAAAACACATAGGGATACATTGGGATGCATATTTAGTGCAGGAGCGTACGGATAAGGTCAGCACAGAAAACGGACGTCGTGTGAACAGGCCCTAAGGGAAAACAAAATCCAAATCCAATAGTGTTTGCCCCCCCTATTAAAACATAACTTAACTCTGGTTTATCACACCTGAGTTCAATTTCTCTAGCCACACCCAGGCCTGATTACTGCCACACCTGTTCGCAATCAAGAAATCACTTAAAGACTTGACTGACAAAGTGAAGTAGACCAAAAGATCCTCAAAAGCTACACATGCAGAGATCCAAAGATATCCAGGAACAAATGATAAAGAAAGTAATTGAGATCTATCAGTCTGGAAAAGGTTATAAAGCCATTTCTAAAGCTTTGGGACTCCAGCGAACTACAGTGAGAGCCATTATAAAACAAAATCCAAATCCAATAGTGTTTGCCCCCCCTATTAAAACATAACTTAACTCTGGTTTATCACACCTATGTTTTGCTGCTTCAGGACCTGGAAGACTTGCTGTGATAAATGGAACCATGAATTCCAAAAAATCCAGAAGGATAATGTGTGGCCATCTGTTCGTGACCTCAAGCTGAAGTGAACTTGGGTTCTGCAGCAGCACAATATCCAAAACACACCAACAAGTCCACCTCTGAATGGCTGAAGAAAAACAAAATGAAGACTTTGGAGTGGCCTAGTCAAAGTCCTGACCTGAATCCTATTGAGATGCTGTGGAATGACCTTAAAAAGGCGGTTCATGCTTGAAAACCTTCCAATATGGCTGAATTACAACAATTCCGCAAAGATGAGTGGACCAAAATTCCTGCACAGCGATGTAACAGACTCATTGCAAGTTATAGCAAACGCTTGATTGCAGTTATTGCTGCTAAGGGTGGCCCAACCAGTTATTAAGTTTAGGGGGGGAAACACTTTTTCACACAGGGCCATGTGAGTTTAGATTTTGTTTTCCCTTAATAATAAAAACCTTCCTTTAAAAACTGCATGTTGTGTTTACTTGTGTTATCTTTGACTAATATTTACATTCATTCAGACATACATCTATCATCACGGTTATGTTTTAGATATTGGAGCTCCCCTGGACCCTTTGTGCGTCTGTGGCTCCGCCGTATGGTACATTCCGGGGGTTGCTCCTGTCCCCCTGGTGTTAGGTCTCTTCATGATACTTGACCCCTAGGTAAGTGGCTGTACAATTCAATCATACTAAGAATAAATGTATATAGCTGAATGGAAACATTGAAAACTGGAAAATATGATTTATAAATGGATTATGAAATCGCATATAAACATGTTGATGAACAATGTATCATGTATTTACAAATAGATTTATACCGATCCCCCTGAAGAAGCCTACGAGCGTAACGCGTAGGGGACTAACAAGGTAATACAACACTGCATACGAAAATCAAGGAATTATGAATATGCATAGTGAAATATGAATTATATATAAAATATTATGAAATGTGAAAAGAAGTAATAATTTTAGGGTTAAAAGAATCATGTATATATATATATGAGCATTGTTTTTAATATTCATAATTATGCAAAAAATCTTTTATATGAACATCAACAAATTTGTACGAATTATAACTATATGAGTACCCTCAAAAAAACCCTGCACAACCTAGGTTGTATAATGTATAGATTTTGACTAAGTTTGGGGTGAGGCCTCTATTCGTCTGGGGGAGTACTTTGGCAAGTGCCTGTTTTGGAATAATATTTACATTTGTTTGATGATCTGAAACATTAAAGTGTGACAAACGTGCAAGACAATGAAAAATCAGGAAGGGGGCCAACACTTTTTCACACAACTGTATAATTTAAAGTGGATTCTTCATGGCATAGTGTGCTAGAAAAGATTAGACATTTAGACTTGCACAATCTGTGATCTGTCAAAAGCAAACTAATACTTGTGTGTTTAACATGCACACCCAGTTTTATGTTTACAGATACTTTATGCTACGCTAGTAGATTTAATATGTATCTAAAGATTGAAGGATATATTTATTATACACTTAGAAATTACCATCAGGCGGTTTTTACATTGCTGACTGCTAGATTCGGTTCTGTGGTCTGACACATTGCAGCTTTTAACTGTAAATTGCTTAAAAGTTGAATGAAAAAACTGTGCAATGTTTAAATAGCTGACTTTAAATTCATTGAGGATAATCAAAACTGGAGCAGAGAAAATCCGGAACAGTTGCCCAAAGTAACCATTTAGTTTATTCTCTTATTTTTTATTAGCGTAACTGAACAAACTGAAGAGAGAAGCTGTTTGGTTGCTATGGGCAACTGCTCCAAATTTTTTCTGCTCCAGTTTTGATAACTTCCCCTCATTTTGTTCTGTTGCATTATAGAAATTGTATAGGAAGCATCTGTTACACAAGTATTATGTAGTGTTTCATGTTGTCATGACTACTTTTAGTCCACTATTAGGCGCAATCCATAAATGTAAATGATAACTTCCATAATCCACATCTTATATTCTTCCACATCAGCTCTTATCTTAGTATAACATATTACAATTGAGAAAATGTGTTTTAAAAGGAGTTAAAGAAGTGAACAAGTACTTACTTTATTTTTTGGATTTTAATCTGCTGCTCTCTAGTGGCGATGCTATGTATGACATCTGGCACATCCAAACCCATTTTATGCAAGTACTTTGTTTCATAAAGCACTTCTAGGATTGTTGGATCCAAGTTAACAAATAACTCCTATACATAAAAACTATGACTTTAGACTGACATACTGAACATAAATGGTAAACATTTACTAAAAAAACAACACAAACTGAGTAATGAAAAAAAGAAAACATTTTAAGATGGCATATGCACTTGTTTATATATCTATTAACTATTTCCCATTGGCATAACACATATATACAGCAGCAGGACCTTAATGTAGGGTTGCTGCATATATGCATCAATGGGGCTCTGCTTTTGTGTGCTGAAATTAGAGGCCAGCAGGATGGGCCTCTCAATCATTTGATTTCTGTGACAGCCAGTCCTCCTAGCATTAAGACCCCATTAAAGGGCAGTTGGGAGGCGGCAGCAAGGAGTTAAGCTCACACTTTGCTGTAAACAAAGCAACAAAAATAACTGGGAAAACGTATAGGTATTGGTATTGCTTTTCACTGTTTTGTATTTGTTTCAGTGCTATCCAAGCAGAATGTTATTTAGCTATAGAATGAACACAGCACGTAGAGCTTGCTATGCCACATCAGATGGAAACAAAAGCATGTTTTTTTCCATTAGCTTACTAAAAGTAATGAACTCTTAGTTAAAAAAAAAAGAGTTATAGGGCCTGTGTCCATGGGCAAATGCAGCATGCTTTTGACATCAATATGAGACATTTCTGTGATTATTCAGAATTGGTTGAGAGTTGCAGTTAACCTGCAGTTGATCTCCTTCTGACCTATCTTTAAAAGCTTCAAGCTTATTTTATAATCAAAAGACTTGTACAAGGAGAGAAGCAGATCTAATGTGAACAAAAGCTCGCCAACACAAGCCCTAAGGAACATTTTCAGACATCTAAGATGTGTTGATTTCTCAAGATTAAAAA